GTAGGACTCTTGTAAATAAAAGTAAAACTTCGAAAATAGAAAATCCCGTTTTCGTTCTAAATCGCCCTATACTACTGTGTAATGTTTTACTCCCAAAATTTCATTTTCAGGATAATGAGAAATATTCCTTTTGCGCAATAGCGAATTGTTGTATTCGAAGACCCATAAACCTTATAACTACTGCACAGAAATTTTTATTTCATATTTTATATTTTAAATGAAACCAAAGTTTAGTGGATTTAAAATATATAGCTCATAACGATAAAGTTGTTAACTAGTTTGTTTTAAGTAAAAACAGGTGAAAACTGGAGTAAATGCATCAGTAAAATTTAATTATTCAACAGTTCCGATTTTAATATTAGCTACACTAAAAGCTATGTCAGAAATGAAAGATTTTTAATTATCATTAAAAAGTGCGTTTATTATTTCGCGCAAATTTTCTTGTTATTAAGTGATATGCAGAAATGACAGGTGTTCTTCGACAACTTTTCTGAAACTGTTTATGATGTCGAGTTTATGTTTGTGTCGTTTTGTAAAATTGTTTTTGTTATTGGATATTGATAATATATTTTTTAACAAAATACTTTTGTCCATAGAACTATACATTAGGATTGATGAGAATTGTGTAAAATTATTTTTGTTATTGGATATTGATAATATATCGTTTTGTTGTACATTGATAATATATTTTTTACCAAAATACTTTTGTCTATAGAACTATACATTAGGATTGATGAGAATTGTGTAAATATGTGACTTGTAAAAGAATAAGACATTTTTATTTCTTTTATTGTTTAAACCCTGTGAAGACGTTTAAAAGCTCAAAGCTTCGTTCTTATAGTTTAAGCACAGTGTCTAATGATACAGGGGTATGGAAAATTGTCATAATTTGTATTAAGTCATTACAGCATTAGATAACTGGAGCTCAACTCTTCACGTCATTGCTACTGTTGCTGGTACTTCTTTCGCATGAGAGGGTGGAGAGGTGACAGTACTTCTCTTGCGGGAGAAGGGTTGGTGGTGGTGCTTGTATTTCTCTTTCGGGAGAAAGGTTGATGGTGGTGCTTGTACTTCTCATCCGGAAGAGAGGTTGGTGGTGGTGCTTGTACTTCTTCTGCGTTAGAGAGGTTGATGGTGGTGCTTGTACTTCTCCTGCGTTAGAGAGGTTAATGTTGGTGCTTGTACTTCTCCTGCAGGAGAGAGGTTTGTGGTGGTGCTTGTATTTCTCTTGCTGGAAAGGAGATATTGGTGGTGCATGTACTTCTCTCGTGGGAGAGGGAAGTGGTGGCGCATGTACTTCTCTCGCATGAAAGGTGGTGGTGGTGGTACCAGTACTTCTCTTGTGGGAGAGGTGGTTGTGATGCATGTACGTCTCTCGCAAGAAAGGTGGTGTTGGTGGTGCCGGTACTTCTCTTGCGAGAGAGGGTGGGAAGGTAGTTGAACCTCTTAACTCTCTGTATCGTGTGTTTCTTATGTTTTTCTACTATAAATTTAGTATTTTTCAATACAACCATCCGTCTAGAGAACTTTGCTTTTCGATAAAATTTATGTACGTAAATGTCAGTGAATAGCATAGAGTAAAACCGCATAAAATATTTTAATCCAGGTATTGCATTATTACGAAGTGGTAGCTATGTTTTTCTGTTGCATTCATTTTTTTAATCTCTCTTTTATGTGTTCATTTTTAAATTAGTACTTACCTTATATAAACTGATTTTCCGATTGGGTCAATTAGATAACAGCGATAAACTCTAATTGTTGAGATTCGGCATTTCTATGGCATCTTTTACTTCACTATACTTTGAACCAATCATAAACCTTGATTTTGTTGTTGCAGTCTTTAAATCGACCTGCAGTGTAAACCTTATTTTAAGTCACTCAACTTTAAATGCATTTTTTATTTTTTATATTTATTACAAAAATGGACATTGAGATCATGATGAAATGTAAAAGTATGTTTTATTTTTATCCTATGTTACAACCTGAAGTTTTACGATGTGTTCCATTATGAAACTTTGCATTCAAAGTGTTTTCTCTTTGTAAGCGGAAATGCTCGAATGACGTCATCGATGAAATTCCTATGCTCATTATAGAATATTGACAGCAATAAATAAAGGTCCTGTTGAACGTACGCTGTGCAAGATTGCTACAATGCAAACTCTATGATTGCATAACTGATTTTCTAACTATAGACTTCTATAAAAACTATAACTAATTTTCAGTGCATGTGTCGTCATACATAGCTAACTGTTCTCCCCGTCAATTGTCATTACGTCAACATATTCATCGCTGCTTTGTGAACTTTTTCTTTTTTCTCTTGCTCGTCGATTTTGAAACCATATTTTGATTTTGTTTTCCGGTAACGTCAGTTCCAAACACAAACTACGAACTTCATCACTTGTCAAGTACTTCATTGTTTCAAACTTGTTTTCCAGGGTCGTCAGCTGTTTGGGAGTGAATGGAACTCTGGGATTGCGACCGGGCTTTAGTTTCTGTTTCGGTCGACGTTTACTTGACTCTGAAACAGGACAAGACACAGCGTCGAGACATGAGTAAGTGACAATAAAAAGAATGGGGTTGAGGGGGTATATGGGGTGTACGTTTGTCAGCAGGTTGTGTGGTTGGATTAAAATACATCCAATATACATGCAGAAAATATAATTTAAACCGCCACAAATTGTGGCCATGTATTCATGTAGCCTAAACAAGAGCAAACATATAAATCAGTTTTAGAAATATACGTTCACGACAAAGGCTTGCAATACATATTTTAATATGTGTTGTTTTAACGAAAATTATTATCGTAGCTTAAAATATCAAGCATGACGTCAACAAAACTTTCATAAAATGTTTATTTGAAAATTACAATGTCGTCATATCAGGCAATATTAACCAATAAAATAACCACGCATGTTATGGACTTTCACATTAATTTATCTGCCATAATTGAATCATACAATAAAAATGATATGCAGATTTGAAAGGAAAAAGAAAAAATTCTATGTCAACTAGAAAATACAATTGTGTTTATAGAACTATAAATGATTCTCTAATGTTTTAATTTCCAGAGCATTTAAAAAACGGCTGATATTACAAGAAGTCAAAATGAACTTATATGTTATGTCATGAACTTGTCATAGAGAGTTCTAAGATTACATGAATGCTGGGAATTCTACTTTATAGTTTTACTAACTATATAGACAATGAGCATATAAGATGTTAGTAATATCATGTAATACATTATTCTTACGTTATGAAGTTAAAGCTAAAGTTAGAAAATGCAATAGGCTAACATATAATGAGCATGTATATATGTATAGATTATATAACCCCTATTTACTACATTTTCAGCGCCTTTACGTGGGGATTTATAATTAAAGATATTTTCCATCAAGAAATAACTAAAATAGCTGTTATTGATTAAAAAAGCGGTGATTATACTGTATGAGCACTCTATTTAATGGAACTGTAGCATCTGTATATAACAGGAACTGCTTTATGTACTTTGTTTATCACAAGTAAGGCTAAAATTGTGTAGGTCAGCTCAAAGTCATTAATGATTTAATAAAAATATGAAAATTTATTTCACCCATGTACAACTGTAACGATTTTATTCAAAGGAGCATGTGAAGATTACTCAGACAAAAAATTTCGCATGTATAAAAACAAGTAGTTTCGAATGTTCATTTTTTGTGAATGCTGTTTTGCAAAGTTACAAAATTCTATTCCATTTGGCAACGCTACGTACTTAACACACGTTGTCACTACAGTTTATAAAAGCACTTGATGTTTCAATGCAGTTGAACACCGATACAAAATATAATTATGCTCAAGCTGTGTCTAAAATGAACCAAACAATAGCGAAATTATTGGCAAAACATAGAACACTGAATACCCATTTAACCAATAAAGCAACATATAGTAATAGGACACGACTTTCGGTTCTCATCATTTTTTTTTCTGTTAAGTGTTCTCTTGTTGCTTAAAGACTTTGAAAAGTACTATCCAAACTAAGAACAACCCGAATCCATTTAGTAAACTCAAGCTGTTAAGAAGCTTGATGTCTGTGTTTAAAAACATTTGATGCTTGATGGTATAAATATAGCTGTGCCATAAGAATGATGTACTGGCAGTAAATCTACTTTGAAACTTGAAGAGTTGGACGTCAAGCTTCTCTTGGGCTGTTGTGTAAAGTATGAAAGTGTTGAAATGTGGCCTTGTTTTTTCTTCATGTTGTGTGTTTTTTCTTCCTGCTGTGCAAAACCAAAATGGTTGTGGTTGAATGGCGAATCTTTGGAGAATCCAATTGAACTGGAAAACAAAAAGGAAAAGCGTCAGCTGCGTCACCATATGAAAAAAGGAAGATGTCTTTTATCTCAAGTAACAGCGTGTGGAGGAAGACGTTCAAAACTTTATGGATAATAAATAAATGTATTCATTAAAGTGTATTGTTCATTGTTCATTTATTATCAGCTTATTCAATTAAAAACCAAATACATACAAATATAATTGTTTGAAAATATAATATGTATGTGTGAATTTTTAGACTATGCTCATTTCTGTCTTCTTCTTTTTGCTAGTGCAGATAAAATGCTACATATCGATAGATTGTTAAACATACCTTTTCTTGCAAACTATAAAGTATAATTAAAAACGATTCTGCCTGAATTTTCAAATACATGCTGATTGCTGACCATGCTGTTTTATCAATGAAAAACGTTCTGCCATTTTAAAAGAAGTTATGTCTGTAAGGGCAACTTGCTTTTTCTTTTGAAATTTTCGTTGTAACAAAGCTGCCACTTTTTACCTGTTACACAAAGCTTCTGCTCACGCTAAATTCAATGTAGAGAATTTCTTCGTAAAGATGTAAATAAGCAGCAAGGAGGACAACGTATTATTATATACGATATTGTACTATGTTTTGATCTGGTTATCAAAGAAGTTTACTGAAGGCAAAATTGGCTACAAATACAAATATTACACTAAAAATTACACAAAAGTTTATGTTATTACCTATATTAAAAAAATAATCATTATATATATTTGTAATCAAGTTATATATGATCAATACATATTAATCAATGCATATTATCTACAAAGCAATCGTTTCATCAGCAGAACGGAACGAGGTTGTCGATTGCTGTGCTGTATCAGTAGAAATAAAACTGTTCTTTTTAAACAAAGCCTTCAGACTATTTCGATAATCGGGAAGCCTCAGTGCATACACAAATGGATTAACTGCGAAATTCACCATGGCAACTGGTTTGTAGTAGTAAGAAAAACGCCAAGCCAATTCACTTTGTATTTTTCCAAGCCTTTGAATAAACTCCACTTGTTTGGCCACAAAAAAAGGAAACGCAGTTACCAGTAATAGGATATTTAGCAAGATAATTGTCTTTACAATTTCCAGATGTTTTCTATTGTGCTGTTTAGCATTTACTGTCGTGTTTTGTCGATTTTGCCATACTATTATAAGTATTAAACACTTCCCAATAACCTGGATCAAAACAGCAATCTCCAAAACAGCATATAGCGTGATATAAGTGTACATAAAGTGGTCAAATTTCTCGACAAAAATTGATGTGAGTTCACCTAATGCCATGCAAATGGCAATCAACCAAACTGTGGCGCATAATATGTAAATTTTCTTCGTGAATAACATTTGTTGTCTGTATTTGGGATACTTTACAATCATGTAAGTTTGCCATGTGAGTGATGTCAAGTGAAAAAATGAGCCCGCAGTCCCAAACATCCAAAAGAAAAGGACAGAATAAATAACAGCTTCTGATGGTTTGACCTCGAACAATCTACCCAATCCAACAATCATGAATTGAGACAAAGATGCAGTGAAATCAGCTATAGATAAGCTTAAGATGGTAATCCACGGTCCTCGTCTTAGTTTGTTTAAAGGATCCTTCACAATAACAACAATAAGAAGACCATTTGTAAGGACACCAACTGTGGAGACCACCATTGTTGTTATTAATGTTTCATAACGAAACGAGGTACCGTTATTAGGTTTGTTCTTCAATGAAACATATAAAAATTTTAAATGCATTGTAAACTGTCATATTTCTCAATGGTGGAGAAGAAAATTGCAAGAATTTTAGAAATGCATTAATTCAATGCTTTATCTCTTCTCAGTCTATTTCATTTCTTTTAGACGTAGTTTTCCACTGCAAGTGTGCAAGTTTTGCACTCAGCAAGTGTTACGAATTACAGAATACGGAAGCATTTCAGAAGCGGATACACCTCAAGGCTTTGTGGATGAGTTATAAAAATTTCAAATACGAACTCGCAGAACTGCCATTTTCTGCAGTCTTTGCTGCATATTACGTGCTAGCAAAAGGGGGAATGTGGAGATTTCTACAGAAGTTGGACAGCAACAAAGAATTCCCAAATGTAATTGTGAAACGGAAATCATTTCTGCTGCGCTTGACACGAGGATTTGATATGATTTTTATTGAAGTCTCTTTTTGTGTGACATGTATTAAAATATTGTGAACACTTTAGATTATTTGATTTCGAGATGGAGCATATGATAATAAATAACTTACAGAAATTATGGAGAGGTACAATTATTGTAGTTGATGGTGGTCTTATAAATATTGGAGATGTTGCAAATAATTCTAAAATCAATGCACATAATACTGTGAAGAAGTTTGTATCTAAAATAAAAGCGCTAAAGTTCCAAGTGTTTTTTGATAGAAAAATCTTTCCTTTTAAACGTATTCAGTTTAAGGCATGGGGTAAACCAACTTCTGATAATGCCATAAAAATCGCATAAACGAAATAATAAATACAAGAATTATAAGATTGTTCAATTAGATGACTTTTAGCCAATGGCTTCAGTTAGACTATTGTGGCTTTTTGACTTTTTTTAATATGAGATTTTTTTGCACCTACCGTATTTCTTTGAATGCATTTCTTTCCAGTCAACAAAACATTTCATTGACTTTAAATTAATTCATCAGACCAAATAAAATGATTTTTGCAGTTACATACAATAGAGTTTTTGTTTATAAACTTACATCACTTTGATTACGAGAACCAGTCTCATTCCTTGTGCAATTTGTCTGGTTTGTTTGAGTCGAGTTGCACATTTTCCCCAAATCACCAGCATTGGCCATGGGATGTACTTTCATCAAACTTGTAAGAATAAGGAATCCATAGACATAGGAAGGATAGACGTTTTGGAAATGCCTTTTGATTATCATAGTGAGACCCTAGATAATATGGTGCGCTGCTTTTCTTTCACTTTGAATTTGATATTGACAGAGTATGTTCTCCCTAAAATCAAGTAAGCGTTGTGTGTGTTGGAGTTGTTATTTTATCGTCGTGCACGTACAAATTGCTTACAGATTTATTTGGCGTGGGTTTCCGGAAATCTTGTATCTTTTTGACGGCATGTTTATAGAGGATCCTTAATATGATTATCGCTTTTGCGAAAAAGTGCAAACGTTTTGTCATTTGTCTGTTTATAATACAATCAAATATCTTTGTAGGAGCACTTTTTAAATACAGAAACCTCGTTATTTTAGAAGTTCCAATGTAATTTTGCTTTCACTCGTGGATTTTCTACCACTCTATTCCCTAAATCTTTGTGTATAGATTTTGAAATATTCGGAACTTATTTTTAATTCAATATTCGACAAGTGTCGTGTTAGTATTTGAAGGAAAGCATGAATAAACTAGAAACAAAAACACATTAGTAAATAAGATTGTGTAACACAAAACGAATGGTTAAATATACGTGATGCATAATAAAGAGTGTTGAAATTCGTGATTAAATGCATATGGTAATCACAAATTTTAATAACCGCAAAGACTTCCCCACCTTGTCTTTAACGAGTAGGTGTCAAATATTCAATGAGAACATCATACCTTGTTCATTGTTTAATCGAATAGTGAAAACTTTTGCCTTATATATGGTATTTTTTGTATTTCATTGACATCCATCTAACGTTTATATTATACATGATGAAAATTCTAATCTTCCCTTAAAATTTTTATTAAGTAAATATTAATAGAACCATATAGAACTATTTGTAATTTAATATTTTTGATAAAAGTAGGTAAAGATTGAATTGGGTCGCTCAAATCCAGTAACAATTGAAGATGGATTTGTTCTTGAAGATGGAGATGGTTCAGTGTGTCGAATTTTGCATCACGACGAAGACACGTTAAATGTAGATAAGGTCCCTTTAACTGGGAGTTTCATTCGAAGAATCATTGGCAGAGCTGTAATAAGATGTTTTACTGCGTTCTCATGATCTCATGATCAATCACCCTACGCAGTGACCCAGACACATTCACACATTAACTTTAAGGAAAATGAAAGAAAGATTTTAAAGAAATCTGACAATGGCAAAAAATAATGAAAACAACGTCGAAGTCTCCTTAGGAAGAAACAAAACCAGAGCCAAATATTCAGAGAATGTAACTGTGCATTACAAAATGACTTCATCATCAAAATGAGCACCACTTCACATGCCATGAAAAATATTCGATCTTATCAGTTTGCCTGTGCAGCTGCTTTTTCACGTGTCGAATATGTTTATTTGAGCAGGCGATTTGAAATCAACACTAGAAGCGTCAAATGTAATTCATGCAAGACCTTGAACGTTTCTAAATCAAAATAATTGATTTGGAAGATGAAATAGAATTCAATGCACATGAGCGACAAATGATTGATAAAATTAACAACCTCACAATTTTTCCGCAGAAAGTTAACGAGTGTCACTATAGGCAGTATTCCTTAATAAAACGTTTGAAACATTAATTTTTTAGTGTTAACTGACGCAAACTTTGCTGGTGTTAGGTTTTGTGATGTAGCCATGTTCTTCTTTATTATAATTTGACTTACACCAACAAATACTACAGATAACTATACGATCACATCTAATGTTCAACGTCTTCTATTTTACAATGATTTAACTACTTCTATTTATACAAAATTTACGTAAGATTATTTTGGGTTCTGATAACAAATATGGTTCATTGACGTCAACGGAAAACTACTAGGAACTATAAAAAATATTGTCTTGATAACATTATAAGTATCTCTTAACATTAGTCATCTAATTACTTACACTTGAATTAATGTTTACTAATCACGGGAAGAATATGAGAGCATATCTTAACAGCTGAAACATATATAACATTTTTAACTACAATATGACCACAGTAAAATCAAATGCATTTACCAGCAAGCAAAGCATTCAAATTACTAAAGCAAAAATTTCATCCAAATCAGAATGTTGTGATGCATGAGGAAAAGTTTCATCAGTTAAGAGGTAAAATGCTAATGTCAATTTAGACCATAAAACGTTGGAACAAAAATTTGATATCCCATAGAACTAAAAAACATTCATCACATTCACGTTTCTAATTATTTGACACAAAATACAAGTCCTTGCCGATACATTTTGCAACGATCAACAAACCAAGTCCGCACCTGATCACTCTTCAACATGATCAACAAACAATTTTTGGAAAACAGCTTAGCTAGTATCTTGAAAATATAATTGGATATGCATTGTGTAGCATAGTATCAAACCGCCACTCGCATCGAGGTGAGTTGAGAAAAAATCGAAACATCGCTTGCTTTTTTGCTCGTAGCTAATAGTAATAGGACATCATTTTGTAGTGTACAAAATAAGATTTTTTCTCAACAACGATTTTCTTTGACATAACATGTTATATAATAAAATAAAATATTTATAAACACAGGTATAAATAAATCAACTGAGAATACATTTTATTCGGCATTAATTGCAAGAGGAAATTTCCGTCTGTGCAAATGTATTGACAATGTTTGCCGTAACTTGAGTAGAATTAAGGATTTGTGAAAATTATAAGCAATGTATAGAGAATTGCATGCACATACATAATGGTAAAACTTTTGTCTCTGTTTACAAACCTTTTTAACTAAAATTAGTTTATGTTTTGTGTAATCACTCTCTTACCCGATGTTCTTCTTTCAAGAGTCTTGGCGCACAATGACAAAAACACTTTTCTTTTGACGTATTTAAAACACATTTTGAATAATTATGCAAAGTACTAATCATCTTTGAAAATATATGTTTTCACCCCAACAGAGTTTGACAGAGTTTGTTTTGACTTATGAAATGTATTATACCACGAAAGCTCTTTTTCTGATAAGTCTAATTATCATGTAAATGATGCAAAATACGAGAGATTAATAAGAAAGACGTTGAAAAAAATATCAGTAATTACAATCAGTGTTTCTGACTCTCGTACCTCTGATTCTAAGGCTATTCTTGAATGGTTTCCAATGATTTTGCATACACACCACCTTCATATACCATAACTTACTCCTAATTTTAATTTTAAGTCCTTAACAGACCAACTCACAATTATAAATTGCAAAATTACAACATTTGTCAGAATTAATAATTTATAGGATACTTGATACTTTTAATAATTAATGGTATACTTGATACTCTTTGTATTTTCATATTTTATCAATATCTGCTCACACTGATGTACTGACAAGTCGAAGCTGACTGGTAAGGTGTTTATTTGTGAGCTGACTTCTGTGTTTGCTCTTAGTAAATTTCATTTTGGAGAAAAACTGCTCACAGGAATAAGTGCTCCCAAAGAGTGAGATCATTTTTTTGGCATGTTTCTCCAAAATTGGATGCTTTCCACATAGATACTTTTCATAGAAAGTTATAACATCATTGCTGTCATATGCTCTTTTCAAATCCATGTCATACTGCAAATCAATCACCTCCATTTGATAGCAGTCTGGAATATCATCTGGTGTCACATCAAATGGTTGAGAAAAGAGCTTGAACTCCATTTCATGATTTTTGACGAGCGCTGCTGGTATTATCGCCTTGTGTAACATTACTTTTTAATGCACAAGGCATTCGTTAATTTTACATTTAAAACAATTGAAAATATGACAATTTTGTAAGTAAAAGTTACTGAGACCTCACCTGTAATTCTCAATAGTATATATAACTTGAAAAAGAAGATTTTTAAATAATTCAAGACAAAGAATCTTAAATGACCCACGCTACTCGAAAGATAACTAAACGTCCTTGAACTGGTGTGTTTTATTCGGCTATGCCACTATGTTAAGAACCGTATTTTTTGCGCAGCTTCGTAAAGTTCATGGTAAAAAAAGATAATTGTCTTGGCATCACTGAGGGCCGTGGGTTGCACATGCCTGCTCTAATCCATGCATCCCGAGCTAAACATTGAGGGTTTTCACAATTCCTCACCCCAGTCCTTTTAGCAATTCTCTTGCATCATATGCCGTCATTTTGATCAATGGCAGCTTTTACTGAATAATTCTTCATGAATAACTCTTCTGAATGACTCTTCAAAAATAAGTTTAATGATTTTCTTCTTCTTGTGTATATTAGATAAGTCTTTTTTCCCATTTTCCATCACTGCTTTCACTCAAATAAGATGATTAGAAATTTTGCAGGGGAGACAATTCAAACATTGTGCATATTTGTCATGGAGACAGTCAAATGTCGATTATAGCAAGATGACATATCATGTAATATATAATTTATCACACAAAGCGTATTTTGATTTGGAGTTTTTTATGAGAAGTACCTTTCACTGGCTTTGCAGGCACAAAGTCTGATCGTATGATGTCTGATCAGATTATTGTGTGGTAAGTTGTTATTAACTTGCCTTTACGCAGGTGCTTAGATACTTTGATTGCATCTGTGCCCACGAACTGGTGTCCAGTCTATTATCAAAGTTCATAGTTGAGAATTGAGGATGGTTGAGATGAGATTTTTTGTGTTATTTATGAATTTTAAGACCAATTTGTGGAGAGTACGGTGTGAAATGATCTTTTTCATGACAGCATTCACAAAACGATTATAAAATTAGCTGGGTTTTTTTTAAGGAGTAAGTATGGATTTGTTAGCGTATTTTGTTTTTGTAATTATGTGATGAATTTTGCCGATGCTCTTAAGTCTTAACTCTCGAGCCTCGTGTTCATAAAACATTATTTATGTCGCTTCTTAATGTCAAAAATATTTTCGAAAATTTTTTGTTTCTTCAAAAACGAAATTATCCGCAAGAAATCCAGTCACATTTGCACAAGAGAAAAAGATATTTTATTCTTGAATTTCAAATTCAAATATGGCGGTAAAAATATTGCTCCAGGTGTTTTGAGTTCAACGGATATTATAATTTAACCTTGTATATATGTTTAAGTATGTATAAAAACTTTATTTCAAGAGGGTAACAGACAACAGTCAAATAGACTGATAAACTACTGGCTCTCTTATACTATATATACAAATGTATATCA